TTCGAACAGTTCGACGAACCTAAATAGTACTGGACGTCAACCAATTTCACAACAAAAACATCTTGACAATGTGCCCATCAAGAACTGAGAAGTCAACGATAAGTAAAATACTTAAAATACACATAGATATGATCTATTTTATTGAATTTTATGCTAAGAATCGATGTAAGGATCCCAAGCCAATGATGCTACTGAAATGTTCCCACACGTCGAGTGTAACGATGCCATGACCTACTTTTTTGAGCTGCAGACTTCCAACTGCCACTGAAACTTGTACGCAGTCTGAGGGTCCTTTCAGCAGTTTTGACTAATGCTGTGTGTTTGCTGGCAAGAGCAATTGGAAGAATATTTCAGAGAACTGAAGAGACCTCGAAAACTCAGAGCTTTTGATTGCTTTCAACTGTATCGAAGGTATGAAACAGATACAACAAAGCAGACATTCTGATAGGATGAAAGCCAGGCTGAAAGCACCAGACTTGCTGATGCGATCATGCGTTTTTGCACCAGATTAAAACTTTAGCCTTCCAGCTTTTCTGGTTGCCGAGTTGGCAATTTCCCTGATAAAACTTTCACACGTCCGTACATGAGAGCCACGCAACCTTAGGAGCTGAATTTGAAATTTTTAGTTCACAAATGCACAGAGAATATCTTGCCCCGAGATCGCTTATCCGCCAAAAAACTTGCATATTTTTTAAGTTTTCCGCACACGACACCCAGGAATACGTGAATGATGATATTAAAACGGGAGGGCCGCACATGCTGTAGGCACATAGTCCCGAATTTTCAGCCTTCCAGCTTTTCAGATTCTCGAATTGAAAATAACAAAAAGTGCGAGCATACAGACACACACACATACACGCATACACAGCCTCTCGCCAATATACGTTTTTGCGTTTGCGTAGTTGCACAAATGCATAAAAAGTGGAAAAGCGAATTAGTAGGGAAACCTGTCTTTGCTTTCATGAGGAAGAAGAATTGTGACCAGTTGTTCGGTGGCTGATTGAACTTTACTTCCCTCAATAAATCTTTTGACGTCGTTCTGTAGCTCATCTCGTCGACTCTTTGTTGGTGAATGATGCTGCTAAAATGATAAGTCATTACAGGTCTGACTGACGTTTCTTAACATCGGATTTTTTTTCCTTTTTTTTATGAAAACAAAAAAAAATGAGACAGTTGGGAAAGTTATCCGGTACCCACATGCGAATCAGTTTATGAATGAAAAGGGTTCCCAAGTATGCAAGCAGAAATACACATGCGTGTATGTTTTGACGTACCGAGAAATCGACGGATAACAGATATCCTGCTTGAAAACGGCTTTTCAAATCTTCCGATGTGCCAGCGCATTTGAGCTGACCCTTTACCATGATTGCAATATGGTCACCAAGTAGGTCCGCTTCATCCATATAATGAGTTGTCAGTAGAATTGTCCTGAAAATGTCCAAAATTGATCCAGTACCCTTCCCTCGTGATCCACTTCACGATGGAAAAATGCTGAAACATGTCTAGAATCAAAGTTGGCATCATATCAAAGCAATATTTCTCATCGGCCCTGTAGCTGGCGGAGAGCGGTTACTAGCGGTCAAATTCGTATGACTGGGGCATTTCTGTCTTACAGAGAGAATGAAATGAAACTCAAAATCGGATTTTGACTGAAACTTTGGCTTTTCAAGTCCCTTACATTGGCTTTGCAAATTTATAGACCTAAGCTGGTACGCAAGGCCTTCAAAACAAGTCTGTGACCCATAATATAAGAACTTCATACTGAATTTTGAAACCAATCCTTTTCATCGAACAGTGAAGATCTGCACTGAATGGCCTGCAGGAACATGCAGTTTTTGGAAAGTTTTGTCTGTGGTGAACAAATCTGTCCGAATGCAAAATTTAAGCCTAGTCCGCGACAAAATTGCAATTACATATACAACGCTTCCAAGTATTGCTAGTATATGCAGTAAGGCAGAAGACGTACTTCGACTGTTTGTACTTTTCGAGAATTGTAGCAATGACATGTCGGGAGCCGAGATCCATACCAGATGTTGGTTCATCCAGCAACAAAACCGGACTTTCACCTATTAGTGATATTCCAACGCACAGTCTACGTTTCATGCCACCGCTCAGCTGCGCAGCAACCTGGAAATGAATTATTCTGAAATCCCAGTAAGGTTAAATTCAATCCTGTCAGCTTCACCTGCCGAGGATTGTTATGATTCTGTTACAGTGAGATTTCATGAACAAAAATCTCCCAAATCGTATGCTACGCACTGGTGAACAATGATTATATAGTTCAACAGTTTTGAGTTAAAACAAAATTGGAACCGTATTTAAGATGCAGTTCTCAGCTAAGGCAACGAGAAGAGTAACGCAGGAAGGGATAAGAAGCTGAACTGTTGTTGCAGAAATAAGGAAGGGCGAACAAGGAGCGAAATGTAAAAAAAAAAAAACTGAGACGGACAGAGAAAGGGGAAACGCCAATCAAAAAATTAGATTACAGGTAACATGTCATCAAAGTTCAAATAATGGCAACTGATCCAATTAAACACCCAGTGCTGCTCGTGAGACGAACGTGCAACGTGGGGCGGGGCTGCAGTCTCGCATCGCATGATAACAACCATCCCATCACACGATGTGACGCTGTTTCATCGCATCTTCTGCTGCCGATGGACGGTAAAAGAGTGCGACTTCTGCGGCGAGGAGGGGT